TTTTTGGCACAATGAACCACTTTAAAAATTTTAAATATGTCACGGACCCCTCTGTGAAAAAAAATTGCTTAAACATCATTTATTACAAAATATATTCTGTTTTATTATTTAATTATTTTAATATTTTTATTTCAATAGTATAAAAAAATTTGAAGAAATTAAAATTTTTAATGTGAAGGCTGTTGCTGCTTTTCCTTGATTAACAGATTGAATTGAGGGATGGTTTTCGACAAAGCAACGCGCATATCATGTTCGACATTCAGTCTATTTCGATGTTTTGTTTTTATTGTGACAAGTGTGGAAAATCCCGCTTCGCAAAGATATACTGTAGCAAACGGAATAATGGCTGCCATAGCTCGTTTTACAAGCAATGGGTAGGCTTCTCTTAAAGAAGACCAAAACTCTCCAAGAGTTTTTGAATCGAAATCCATTTTTAACAAGGACTTTGTTTTCAAATCAATTAGCTCATCTTTGGCAAGGTTCATGTCATCGATACAGTCAATATCACAAAGAAAAGGATTACGAATCCACAACTCATGTTTTATATTTATTCCATCCGAGTTGAAATATTTTTCAAAGGAAACTTGAAGTACTTCCAGGTGTTCACAGATTTCATTTTTCAAGTTATTCAATAAAAAACTATCTTTCCGAGATCCATTTTCAAAAAGCACTTCGTCCAACATTTGAAAGTTTGCATATATCCCATTTTGAATTCTAATTTTCCAAAGTGACATTTTCAATAAAAATGCCTGTAGTTTCTCAGTGGCTTCCATAATTGTTGTATCAGGCCCTTGAATTGAAAGACATATATCGTTCATGTGGTTAAAAATGTCTGCCAGGCAGGTAAGCCAATTTACATATAAAATCTTTTTTCTTGAAATATTCGAAGAGTGAGTTATCGTTTTCTTCTAAAAAAAAGTGATACTTCTGTCTTCAACATGAAAATTCGTTTCAAAACCTGCCCTCGTGACAGCCAGCGCACTTCCGTGTGGTACAGAAGTACCTCATGTTCTGCGTTCATTTCTTGACACAGTGTTTTTAAAAAGACGATGATTAAGAGCTCTATTTCTAATAAAATTCACAGTTTTAATAACTATTGACAATACTTCTTTTAAGCTGGTTGGAAGAGTTTTTGTAGCCAGTGCATGTCTATATAAAAAATAATGTGTAACAATAACATTAGGAGCCTCTTTTTTACCAAATGGGCAAAACCAGATTTATTGCCAAGCATCGCAGATGCTCCATCCGTACAAAGTGAATGAAGTTTTTGTTTCCAGTCAAAGTCGTGTTTGGAAAAGGAAACATTTAAAATCGCTAAAACATCAACTGCCTTTGTAGTTTGCAAAAGAGGCTCACAAAATAAGAATTCTTCTTTGATAGTATCAGCAGACACGTAACGAACAAAAACAAGAAGTTTGACTACAATTCGAGATGTCTGTAGTTTCATCCAGTTGCATACTAAAGGGAAATGGCGATGCTTTCAATTCATCGATGATCTGTTTCAAGATATTGCAAGAAATTTCAACTATTCTTGAATGTATCACATCCTTGGACAATGGAATAGCCTCAAGTTTTTTCTCTGTTCCAGTCCACAAACTAATTCAACCATTTCCAGCGCACATGGCTTAATTAATGTCTCTCCAATAGTATGCGGTTTCTTACTTTTGGCAATACGATATACAACTCTGAAAGATGCCTTAACCAAAGGTTTTTGTGAAATACCAAATCCAAGTTTGATTAATGTTCCACATTTCGAAAACTGGGCTTTCTTATTTGTAAAAAATTCTAGATATTTAGATTAATTTTCAGGATGAAGAGATTTGAGATACTCTATGAATTTTGCCGGTTTTTATACTGGCGTTTGCGAAAACTTTTCCATACAGAAAGCATTGTGGCTTTTCAATCTTTCATGCATTCATTGTGGCTTTCCGATTCCTTCATGCAGCAGAATCCATATTTTACATAATTTTCATCATAACTTCCTTTTTTTGGACATTTGGGCTACAAAAAAATCAAATAATCAAATGAAACATTAAGAACACCACACAACACACAAAAAAAAAAAAAAAAAAAAAAAAAAAACACTTGAAAAAAAATACTTTAATTACAACTTATGAAAAAGTAGTAAAAACAATATTTTGTTTTAAAAATTTGCAAGAACTTGCGGAACTGATTTTAACGTCACTTTATTTCCAAGTGAAGTAAAATTCAAGGCTGCTTTGTGTTTCTAAAAATTTCAATTTTATATGGTTTGCGAATGTCTTTTCCTCGTATTGTGGAAGTCTCTATTATTGGAAACGGCAGACAGACGGCTTACAGAGGTTGCCCGTGACAAAAAAAAATTTTTTTTTTAAATATTGATGCAAACATCTTTTAAATTAGGAGCAGTCGGCGGACCCCAAAATATGACCCATGGACCCCTGAACCTTAGGTTAAGAAACACTGCTTTAGACAAAGCCTTCATTTGCTTTGCCACATTCAACTAACCTAACCTAAACTTTATTTTATCATTAACTAAAAGGTTGACATGCTTAAAACAGCTCTTTACTCTCTTTTCTGACACATGATTCAAAGATTTAAACATGCTTTTAAATCAAAACCAAGATACTTTGTTATTTAATACCTTGCTTTGCAGCATGTCTCTGTCATTGCCAGTTTCTATACTCTGAATTGACCTTATTTGGGAAGTTTATCTTTTATTTGGCTATGTAACTTCAGCATAACAAATTAATTCTATGATATTTTGATAAGACTGACCAATTGATCACAATAAAAAATGTATTTTAACTATGCCTTCTTATACAAATGGGAGGGGGCTGGCAATTTGATAACAATATTTGAATGATCACATTAAGCAGTGTCTACTGTAATTTCTGATGAGATATAAAGTTTTCTTTTGAAATATTTGGTTGACATTATTTCAAAACAACAACTACAATGAGCCAAAATATAGTCATTTCAAATCAGTTCTCAACACAATGACTAGATTGACCAAACTTAATTTCTCTGTGTTTTCATTTTAGCAAGTTTTTACCTTAGGAAGGCTACCAAAGTCTTGAAAAACAATTGTGGAACTTTGAGGCAAGTTCTTTAAATTGTATTTACTTCTCATTGTCATCATTAAGTGTTTAACTGAAGAGCTGCAGAAAAGTTATATGCAAAAATATGCTTGCTTAATTATGGCAAGAAAAAGAAAAGGGAAGTTATGGAAAGAATCATTGGAAACAGAAGTAAATGTAAATGAAAACAAGGATGTCTCTTTTTTTCAGCACCCCCCCCAAAAAAAAGAGGAGAAGAAATGACTGGGGATAATTGAAAGGTATCTATAAATTCTACTATTTTTACTACAGGATATTGTTTTATTTAAAAGGTATCAAATATACCCTACATCAGTGGTCTCAAACTGGCGACCCACGAAGATATTTCAATTTTGTATTTGTTGCAAGTATGATGTAGCAAAAATTTCAAGATTTTACTTATTTGAAGTCCTAGTTTACTTTATTTTCATTTCCCTTAAAAATAAACATGAATAATGTACCAGGAAATTTGTAAATGGAGCTCATTAATTTAGAGTGGGATATAAATCTTATTAAAAATTTTGGAGATACATAGTTGATTAACTTTCATCCTTGCTTGTCAAAAAGTAAATTAGCTGAGTTAAAAATTTTTGTGCTAAGAATAATCACTTTGTATGGGGATATATTGATAAGTAAACAGCCTTTTTTCACAGTTGAAGATTAATAAGAAAAGAACCCAATTGATTGATGAGCATCTGCAATCTGTGATGAACTAATGAGCATCTGCAATCTGCAATGAAGAATATTTTTAGTAATTTTCTCCAAGGCTAAACGTCAGAGTACAATCAGTAATGAAATGCCATCCATTGTCAAGCTGTAGTAAGAAACAAAGGAATTTATAACTATTTATATACAAGCATATGTATTTTTATTTATGCATCAAAGAAAATTTGATAAATCAGAGAAAGAGGTTAGGTTGTCATTATTTATTCTCAAGTTTTGTCCCATTAGGAAAATTTTAGTGTAAGCAGCAGAAATGTCTTATAGATACTAAACTTTATATTTCAGATAGAAAATAAGTATATATTTTTTCCCTTTGCCATATTATTGTTATTGTTTATATATATATTGACACACGTTTAGCAAGCAAAATTTTAAATACAATTAGAATATTTCTTATTTTGTTAATAAAAGTTTTAATTAAAAAAAATCTGATCTATCAGTTATTTTCAGATTGTGCATTTGACCTGCATGCAGTTTGAGACCACTGCCGTACATATTAATTTAAGATATAGAATACTATGAATCATTAGTTTCTCCAGTTTAACTTTTGCCAGTAGAATAGCTTGATTTGCTATATTTTGAATATTTGTTAAATACAATTGAAGGATTTTGATTTGTAGGTGCTCAACCTACAACCTCTGACTTCAGTATCCTGTCCTACAGCTCTGATCCAAAAACTGTTGAAGGAAAACTTTTAGTTATGGAGAAGAGTTATTCTTCATTGGAAAAATATGGTCAAAACTTTCTTGAGAGATTAAAAAGCTATCGTATACCAAATGATATATTAAAGTTGGTGAGATTACTTTGAATTTCTTAAAGAAAAATTTTGTAAGTTATCAGTATTGAGTAGAATGAAAGTGTATAAAAGAGATCTGGAATGATTCTTTGTAAAATCAGAAATTATTAAGAATGGTTCTTAATAATCATTGAAATCTGTGATCATTGAAAATTATCATTCATTTTTTTTTTCTTAAAGTAATGATGACTGAAAATGATGCTTTATGAAATTAGTAATCATTGAGATTAGTGTTGCCTTTAGTTAATACATAAATTAAATATAAGAAATAAATTAACAATAATAAAATAATATTACAGAGTTGCCAACTCTCCCGATTTAGGCGGGAGACTCCCGATTTTCGACGATCTCTCGCCAACCCGATTTACAATTATTTCTCCGACTTTTTCTTATTCTTAAAATTTCTCACGATTTTTATGGAACTTGCTAATACTTTGTTAATGAACAAAAGTGATTTTGGACGTCTGAAAGCAATTGAATTTTCTCTAGATTATATCTAAAACAAACCTTACGAATCAGATAACTTATGTTGTGAGTGAGAGCATTATACGTATCCAGAAAGTCGTTCTCCAGTTCTCCAATGGCATCGAACTCCACTGCGTGTCAGTGGCATATATTAACCAATGAGGACAAGGCAAGCTGTTATTTGGATGTTCTTTAGTTATTTCGTTCAATTTGTGCTGAGTTGTGTGAGTGCACGTGCCTTATCATCTTTTGTTATGTCTGAGAGAATGAAATACTCGTGTACGTTTCAAAAATCGTACACAGTTGACTTAATCTGACACAGTTGACCTTCCATTATTTCCTCAAGGAAATGTAATAAATTTGCGATGTGCACCGCCTGTCGTTGCGATTTTTCGAATTCGCAATGTGGAAGGGCGGATGTTCTCAAACATGTGCGAACACAAAAACACAAGGATAACATGAGTTGTTTTTTAAAAAAACGAAAAATTAAATTTTTCTTCGGAAACAAAGGACCAAAAAGTTATTAAAGCAGAATGTCTGTTCTCTGCCTTTTTACTGGAGCACAACCTGCCACTGAATGCATCGGATCACGATGCAGCTTTATTTAGAAAAATGTTTCCCGATAGTGAAATTGCTAAGAAATACTCAAGTGCAAGAACCAAAACAAGTGCAATTGTTAAAGAAATGAGTTTGAAAAATAAATCTTCAGTTATTGATTGCACAAAACAGCTCCGCTCTGCCTCTCTACGGATAGAAGCAATAATACCGATACAAAACTGTATCCAATTGTTGTTTCTTTTTTTAATCCAGATTCTTAAGAAATTGAGTGCAGTTTACTTTCTGTCCCCATTTTAGAAGGACATTTGACAGGCTTTAATATACCACAGCTAATTATTAAACTTTAAAAGAAAATGCAGGCCCTCTGGATAATTGCTTAGCACTTGGTGCCGATAATGCACCAGTATTGGTAGGCTTGAAGACTGGTGTTGCAGGCCTCTTAAGAAAGGAAAATTCAGATTTGCAGATTATGAGGTGCACCTGTCACCTCTTAAATTTAGCAGCTGAAAAAGGGGCAGCTTCTTTACCAATAAATGTGGATGAACACATTGTTGATATTTATTATTATCTTAAAAGGAGTTCTAAAAGGAAAAGGAAGAAAAAATTGAAACAGTTCCAACAGCTGCATAACAGCAGTTTACAATTAGAAAACTTGAATGAAGTTATAAAATCAGCTAGGATTGACACCCAGTGGAGTTTAATTGGAAAACTGAAAGGTGCTGATGGAATTTTAAAATATAGCCAACTGTCTAGAATTGTGTTGGCCATCTTGACAGTTCCCATAGTAGTGCAGAGTGTGAGAGGATTTTCAATGTTGTTGCGTAAACAAGGACTAAATTTAGATCTAATATTAGTGATGACACATTAGAAAAACTTTTCTTAGCGAAAGCAGGCCTACGTGTCAATTGCAGTGAACAAAATTAGGAAGTTTCTTCCTAATTTTCTAAACTAAAATTCCCTCTCCTTTTTTTTCCGTAAACGATGCAAGTAATAAAAGTGTTTTTTTATGTGTAAGGTATTTTTGTGTTGCTTGCATTTAAGAGTTAGTTACTATTTAAAGTTAATTCATTATTAAAAACCATATTTTTATCATTTAAAAAGTCTTTTTAACATTGTGAAAAATCTCCTGATTTTTGAGTGTCATAGGTTGGCAAGTAGGATATTAAAATAAATAAGTTATAAAAAGTTTTTAAAATTAATAATAATCGAATACTGATTTTAGTAATCAAGTATACATGCCACGTTTAAAAGATGAACTGTGGCAAATGGTTGAATGGGAATAGAGAGCCATTCCTCAGGAACCTTCCATAGTCTCAATGACTCTGTATCTCAGCGTGTTGCTTTGTGTATTGCCTTCTAAGGTGGTCCTACAACTTACTCAGCTATAACTGTATTTACAACTTACTGTATTATGCATATCATTTCAAAATAAAGATCACTTATTGTTCGTTGCTGTCTCTCTCTGTTTGCTGAGTTTCATCACTTTTTTGGCCACTCCTTCTTGGTGTTCATTTTCGTTGTCGGGTAGTATATACAATACATGGATGATTATCGGGTAGTGTATACAATACATGATTTTTGTTCTCCTCATGTACACAGCAGTCTGTAAGAGAAATGTGTAAATTCGACATTTCTCATATTAAATATAATATAGTTATATTATAAATGCTACTACTCTTCTTGCTATGTATACAGCAATCTGTTTTCACTTAAAAAAAAATTAAAGAATTGTAGAAATTCGGTATTGCAGATGACACTATGATCAGTTATAAATCATTAAATAATAATTATATGATGCATTAAAAAAACACTTAACCTTTTTCAAGGAAATTAATTATTGATGGAGAATAAATCTTCTTTCATTCTTACAACACTCTCAAATAGAAAGTGTATTTATTTCTTTCTTTTCCACTAAACCCGTATTATAATTGTGTACAGAACATATAACCTCCTTCACAATTAAGCCTGTTTCTGTGCATCACTATAACACAGGCATTTACTTTGTTATTGCAAATCATATCTTTCCACCATGATGCATGATAGAGAACACAAAATAAATCCTAATCCGCTGTTTAAAAATATGGAGCTTCAAAATAAACATACCATGTGTCCAAGAAAGAAAAATGACACAATCTCATTAACTCCAGTAAAAAAAAATAAGGTTGCCAGAATAAAATGCTAACCATATTAGAGCTATGCTTAAAAGTCCCATACTGCCCAAATATACAAGCTCTTCACCTGTACTCCTTTACGATCTTTGTGAATCTTTAAGCAGATGGTTATTTAAGCTATTATTTGAAACATAAGTTTATCTTTACCACTCTATAGTATGTTACTTTAAAATAGGCACTTCAGGGATCTAGTGACTCTCCCTTCATTTATGATCACAGCATATGTCATCATCACCATACACAAGAATTCAGAGAATTTCAGCAAATTAGAGGATTTGACATTTTTTCTGCAGAAATCATTAACATGATTATGACTCGTGGTTGAAAGGAGGAGAGAGAAATAACCTTTCAGTGATTATTTTAAAGTAACAGGCTATAATGTGTTTGAGGAAACTCATCTGAGTTTCAGGCCATCTGCTAGGTTCTAAGTTTCTTATATTTAACATTATTGAATCTCTCTGAGAAACTACTGTCTAAAATATAAATTTTATGAATCTAAAACTTCTGTAGGGTTGGATTGCAAACAGTTTTGCATGAGAAATTACTTACAGTTATTACGCCATTCAGTGAAGTGGATGTTTTTTATCTTGAATGTAAACATTAATTATAATACCAACTGTATTGTTTTCTTTATGGTATAAAATGCAATTTATATTTCTGAAATGAGATTTCTTTTATTAAAAACTAACATTCATTTAAACGAGGAATTTAATTACGAGAATAGCTGATGAATTAATTCAGTTCTAAGAGAGAATAGGCTCATTTCACTTTAATAAACTTTTTAACTTAATATTAAATTGAGTTTTTAACTTCTAAAAATTCTTTTAATATATGTGAGTAACATAAGTAGTTTGTGTAATATGTTAATTTTTAGTTTTATTACTTTTAAATTTGAATGCATTAAAGTGCAGCTCCTATTTTTTAGTCAGTAATTTAAAATTCTTCTAAATTCTGTCTTTACAATGTTCATAATTGCTTAACAGAATGTTAGAAAAATTTTAATATTAAAATTGTAAGGAACAATGTCCCCTGAAAAATAATTGTAATAAATCTTGTGTGTGCTTTTTGAGATGATCTTTTTATTTATGCTTATTTTAGGTAAATTTTGTTGATACTCCTGGTGTTATTGAAAACAGAAAGCAGCAGGAACGTGGTTATCCATTTGCTAACATTTGCCGATGGTTTATCGATCGAGCTGATTTGATCATATTAGTATTTGATCCAGCAAAACTTGATGTTGGTACAGAGTTAGAACAACTATTTAAACAGATGAAAGGAAGTGAAGCTAAGGTATTATATAAAAATTATTCCAGGTAGTTAAACAGGAAATTTAATGTATGCAGTTCTCAATAATGAAATCACAATTTAATTGCAATTGATACGCCAACTTGTTTGTGCTAAAGTGCATATAAATTTAATTTGTTCTGGATTCTGAGTTATCAGCACAAAGAAGTATCCAAAAGTATAAAGCATATATAATTTTAGTAAAAAATATGTGTTGGTAATGAAGAGCTTAAATATATCCTTATGTATTGGTAATGAAGTCATCCCTTTCTTAAACAATAATATTATTTGGTATCTGTGAGTGGCATAAATTGATACTACGAGTGGGCATAAAATTGTAATAAATTAAAAGAAGGAAGTACTTAAGATGATACAATTTCTGAATAATTTCCTGCTTCAACAATGATCCAACAATATCAATAATTTAATACTGTAAATGCCCTTATTTTCATGAGACTTTAATTTTCACGATTTTCATGAGCCCGTCGTAATCACAAAAATTTAAGCCTCGCGAAATACTTTTTTCCCCCGCCTCAAATAATAATAAAAAGTCAGAAATGTTTCACTTACCTAAAATTTAATGATTTATTGCACAGTTACAAGCATTTTTCTTGACAACTTTCTTTCTTATAACTATTTTTGAATAATATACAACTATATTTCTAAAATATAAAACAATTAAAATTAATAGAAGGCAGCTCATTCACTTATCATACTATTTATACCAGCTTCTTTGAAGCCATTCAAAATTATCTCATGTTTGGCTTCAATACCGTTAAATACGCGCAGAAGCCAAGAAGTGTGAATCGGACTTTGTTGTGATATTCGCAAGTCCTCAGATTCTTTTTTCTCTAGACATTGAAGCTCATTAGAATACCACTCAATAAACTCATTCTTGAGCAAATGCTTGAACTCGCCATTTAGACGGGAATGGGGAGGGACGAACTTTTCGGACAAAAGGAAGTTTCTTAAAATGCTTTATGCAAAAGATGGTACTTTTGGAATTTTTCAACTTTCTCAACATTACTTAGTACTTTTGAAATTTTTCAGCTTTCGGATCTGTTCATATAAAATTCACAAAATTTTCAACTCGCAAAATCACTGATATATTTATTTTCATGAAAATTAGGGCCTTAACAGTATTTAAAAAGTCAAGCACATCCATATCATTAAGATTATTCATGATATACTAACATATGTATATGATTAAGCCTTTTTATTTGCACCAGTGCAATGGAATTTAAGAACACTTCACAGGAATAAATTCTTCATTTATAATTGTATGTATTTAACAAAGGAACTACTAAATTTCAGTATGAACAATGATCTTTTTTTTTATCTTTTCTTGTTGTGTCCTGTATATGTATTTTAAAGCTTTAAGTTGTGGTGTTCTTCAATTAATGTTTTTGTATGTTACTGATTTCATAGTTTTCAAACATATGTACACTTATCACTGACGCTTTGGTAAGTTTGAGAATCATCAGAGAAATCATCCATTGTTATAACCTAAGTCTCATTTATTAGGAGTTATCCATTGCAGCAAAGTGAACAGAATCGAAATTCATCCATCAACAATGTATTTATCATTCATCTCTTTCCTAGCAATCTGCAGCGACGTTGCATTAGTATAAAGTCTTGAATGGGCCGTATTAGTCTGTCTTACTATGTAAGTGATGTTATTCTTCCTGACTTATCATAGCTTTCTTTCATTTCACTAGCAATATTCATTAGCTGCAGAACGGAATTTTGAATATGTGGCCTACATGCTATAATGCGAGCCACAGGGACATTGATGTTTCTTTAAATAATTAGTCCAGATAAGCAGGAAGAAATGAACAATTTATTAGGAAAATAAGCACGTTAAATAGTACACACAGCACAGTAATGGCGCAAATAACTCCAGGAGAACATAGATATGTAGCAATTCCTCTTCAACACATGGATTATATAAGTTCCTCAAGTCACTGTCGGGGTAAACCCTAACTCATAATTCAGCTAACCACTAAGTCTCACAGTTGATTCACAACTGAACTCCCTAGCTCTCTAATCTATATTTATATCCTACAGCATGGGCTCTGGAAACCTCTGAAATAATTGATCATAGGTACTGAAACATCTTTTTGCAAATCTTCCAGAAGGTCAGCTGGAGAAAGGGAAAGAGGATCTAATTTTATCCACAGACTTCTTGCATAAAAGGGGCCTTACAATCTGAAAAGCTACTGAAATCACCATAAACTCATGCTGTAAGAGAGAAGTAGCTTTCAATCTGTCATACATTTAAATGTTCATTGAAAAAATGTGTAGCAACCCATTGTGAAACAACAGTTGTGTGCATCAAAAGGAGGTGAATATTAAGGGATCATTCATTCGGATTCCAGCTAAGAAAGTAGATAGATATTTTTGTCAAAGTTCCTGCTTCTGTGCGATTTCTCTGTTGTTAAGAATGTGTAACAGTGTTATTTTATTTATCATTTTAACATTCTGTGTGCTGTTTAAACTGCAAAATGAATTGTGCACTGGATTTATAAAATAGGGTCGATAAGCTTCACTTCCAGAAATTCCTTTAATTTTGTAAAAAAAAAAAAAAAAAAAAGGAAATAATTTTCTCTTTAGTTCTTTAAAGTGGTGACTGCTTTTACATTATTTTGAAGTTCTTTCTTGAAGTAAATGAATGTTGAAACGTTTAAAGCAATCGCTGAACCTTTAAACTTCTTTTCTACTTGGCTAATATTGAGGTAATTTTTAAAATTTTAGATGTGTCATTTACTGTATAAAGTTTGACCTTGAATAACTTCTTTCCAAAGTCTTCACAAGAATGCAAATTAGTTTTTTGTGTATTTAAACCAAGGGTTTGAATATTTAAAGTCTGTTACCTATCACAGCCAGCTCTGCTTAAGTTTATTTCCAGAGATCTGATGTTTGAAATACATGCTGTAATTACTTTTAGCCAGCTCAAGTAATTCATTTTTTGTTGTAGTCTTTGTTACCTACATTTGAATTAAATATTATCTTATGTTACTTTAAATTCCCTCAAATAGTGGAGGCTTGTCTGTCATACAAGTAATGCTTTCTATTCATCTAAGAATTAAATTAAAAAAAAGGTGATTTTAACCTTCTGTAAACTTCATGATTTGTTTCAGGCTAAGCAATAACACACTTCCAGGCTAGTAGGATCTGCAGGACATTAACATGAGCTTCTACATACAGCAGAATACAGTTGTTTCTTTTTTAATTAAACTCTCTGCAGTTAATAAATATTTTTTTGTTTACTTCTTTTCGCAGATTTTTCGTCATTTTAATGTATATATACAGTTTAAAATGTTTATTAAATTTTATTTCAGATATAAAAAAATTATTACTTTTAAGAATTAATTATGATTGAATACTTTATTTTTGTATTTTAGGTACGAATTGTGTTGAATAAAGCAGATTCAATCACTTCTCAAGAACTGCTGCGTGTGTATGGAAGTTTATATTGGAGTTTGTCTCCTTTAATCAATGTAACAGAACCACCCAAAGTATATGTAAGTTCATTCTGGTCAAAACAATTCTGTAGTGAATCAAAAGAGTTTCAAAATATGTTTATTGAAGATGAGATGTCATTGCTTCATGATATTTTTGATGTGATGTCGAACAGACTCCAAAATAAAATAGCCTTTCTCCGAAGACATGCCATTTTAGTGAGAAATCATGCTCTCCTAGTTGATAAATATTTAGCAACATTAGCACAGCATCGATCTTTTTTCCAAAGTTCTAGTGATATCTCAATTATGATTGCAGAAAATCCTGATAATTATAAAATTTATGCGAAAGTTTTGGCTCACAGAGATGTGAGTCAAAATGATTTATTTCCTGCCATTGCTTACAAAGATTTTTTCTCTGTTCATCCAATGGATAGCTTTATTTCTTTATCAAAGCACTGTGGATTCATGTCTTTATGCCTTTTAGATGCTATAGAAAAAACTATATATCAAGATCTCCCTCTTTTATTAGAAGAAGTAGAATCACATCAATCATTAGCTTGTTCTCAGAGGCAGACTTGCAAAAGTTTGTCTGGGGAATGAATATTCTGCTTATTAGATTCTCTTAATTCATTATTATTATGTTTATTTTAATAAAAGAAAATATTTCTGTAACTCATTAGGCACTATCAGAGTAAAGCAGTGATGGTGAACCTATGATACATCATGGATTTCCAGCTGTCAATGGAGACAAAATATTTGTCTCTTGCCTCATCATTGTAAACATGTGCTGCACTTACCTTGGGTGTGTTGAAGAGCATTATTGGCAGATGGATGCACTTAATTGCCATTTTTATGAGTGTATTTCAGTGCTTGGAACAGATTACGTAACACTTTTAGATGCATAAAAAATCTAGTAATGGCTTTGCTAACAATTTTTCTATCAACATATTTTTGTGAGACTTTGTTCTCATCACTGAATAACAGTAAGACAAACAAAAGAATCCGGCTAACAATGAAATTAGCAACACTTTACTTCAATGCACAGAGTATGAACTGTCTATCGAAAATTATCAAACTTCAGCAAAAGAAAAGTCACAAATATAATGAATAATATGTGTTTTGCTTTTTTTTTAGTTAAGTATATCTACCTATCTATATTTCTACAGAGTGCCCATATACCTATGTGTTCTCATAGTATTTGATTATCATTGATAGTATGAAAAATGTACCTTTTTTGTCCCATACTTGGGCTATAAATATCCAAAAGTAATGAAAATTTCTGTACGTCATATGATACCAGAGTTAAGCTAGAGGTTTTCTGAATTTTGAGATGCTGAATTCAAAAGGTTCACCATCACTGATATAAAGAGATAGTTCCTTTCTCAGTCAATAATAACTATATTTCTCCTTTACAGCATTTAATGCAATTAAGAAAGGCTCCTCCCTCTTTTTGAAAAAAAAGGGAAGTAATTTATGTATGCATGAAAGAATTATATTATTTGTGAAATTAATATGAAAACGTTTTTATATTTATAACAAACTTAATTGTATGAAAAGGAAGTTAGGAATATGTATATTGTATTGTTTCCTAAAAATGAAGTTTTATTGTTTTTTAGTTTTTTATGGATTTTATTGAAGCTATATTTGAATTACAGTATTCACAAGTGATTAAAAACGCCATAAAGATTTCATTTTTAGGGGACATAAATTTGGTTGGGTCAAATTTTAACCAATGATGGATTCTGCAGTTTACTGATAGTAATGATCATAGTCAGAATAGCCATATAAAATAACTGAATAACTTTTTCTTCTTTCTGAAAAAGTACTGTGTTCAAAGTTACAAAGTTTCTTGTTACCAAAATACTAATGAATAGTTTTTATTATTATTATGGCCATGACTGTTGCTGTCGACTGATGCATCGCCTTTAGTCAACAAAACCTTGAACTAAATATTTATCTCCAGATAAAATCCCTATTTTTTCAGTTAAGTTTCATGTAAACCCCATTATGTTATAGCCATTTATTCAATTCTTATTCATTTTTGGAATCTATGTGCTGTTTGTCCACCATATATATTATTATTTAATATTAAAATGTGATATTTTTCTTATATAGATATGTTGGTTGTTGTTAATTTCCACTGTTTTAATCAAACTGGTCTTTTGTTCCTTTTATCAAAATATTTTATTTTTCAATTCAAATAGTTTGCTATTGCTGATAATAATAAAGTTATTTTAATTTTAAAAACTGTCCTTTTTTATGTTTTCCTCATTCTTGTAATTTTTAAGAATAGGAAAAACAAACATGAAGATTTTTTAGAATGTTATAAACCATTTTTTAATATATGAATTCACAGGAATATATATATACACGAGGACATACTCTGAATTTCCAAAAGGGTGTGCTACTTAATTCTAATTAAAAAAATGTATTAATGTGTACATATTCCCAAGTTCAGTTGTACTGTTTGCATAGCAACATTTTTGAATATTGCATAATAATGAAAATTTTAAAGTAATCAGTTTTGAGATCTAAAATTTAAAGCTTCATAAAATTATAAAACCAGTTAAGATTGATAAACAGTTTATAGCATGGTCACAAATGAAATCTGCTTGGTTTATGAACACTGCATTGTGGTATACATCTATATATAATCAATTAATCAATTACTGATTGCTAGAAAATATTGTTCCACTAGTGCAGTGTATGCTGATATTGGCAGAATTAGTAAATCAAATGTTAAATTTCGCTAACAATACTGCTGTTTTTACAAAGCATTACTTGATGTAGTGTTTTATATGCTATCTCAAAGGGAAAATAACTCATGGATTCAAAGTTAGTATTAAAAAATATACAATTTCACATTATAAAATGTAGCAGAATTTCTTTTCTGCTGATGATGAAAGACCTGTACCCATTCACCCTCGAAATCAATAGCGCCATAATTAAATCTACACTACACAAATGCTCTGCCTAATTTTATGTTTAATTAATATTATTTTGGTGTGTTTCTTGTCTCTGTTAATTCCACATTACATTAAATGCTAACCTCTAAAACCATAAAGACAGATAGATGACTTATCACCCTGTCCTACTTCTAAATGAAATCAATAGCGCCATAATTAAATCTACACTATACAAATACTCTGCCTAATTTTATGTTTAATTAATATTATTTTGGTGTGTTTCTTGTCTCTGTTAATTCCACATTACATTAAATGCTAACCTCTAAAACCATAAAGACAGATAGATGACTTATCACCCTGTCCTACTTCTAAAATACAGTAAATATAAACTTAAATAAAGATTTAGAATGAACCTTTTTATTTACTTGTTACTCTGATGGTTAACAAGCTATTCAGTAGCAGGGGTATAAATAGAAGTGGGTGGGACACTAGAAATTCACCATTGGTTGTACAGGTAGTCTCACCACACTAACTATGCATTTCCATCCCAGTTTTGAGGGAGAATCCCCAGAGATGATCTGATGGTCTCTTACCACCAGCCTCTCGAGATGACTTTTTGGTGCACCACATATTTTGAGTGCCTTCTTGCCACACAGACACTATATGGATACTATATGCTTAAAAAATCTATACCTTCTCCATTCAAATCTGAAACTTTTGGTACAGCAGTCAGCATCAAATATTGCATAATACTATATTTGGTCCAACACTACCATTTCTTATTTAGGAGAACATGAGTCACAAAGTAATAGGTCAGTAGAAGCTGCCATAGCTTCTCATCTCAAATTCTGCACTCAAATACATTGATTATGCATAGTGGTGGTAGTTGATGAAAGAAGAAATGAAAGTTCAGGCGAAATAATAATATAACTAGCTAATTAACATAAAAGCCTATAAAAAAGCTTTTGCATTATAATTTCACATTATAGTGATTTACCACATTTTAATTCTTATTCTTTTTTAGGAGAAAGGCCTTTTTCTGTTTTGCACAGAAACAAAATTACTATTTCTGAGTTTGATTGAAACAAACTCAGAAATAGTAATTTTGTTTCTGTGTCAATTATATATATCTTTAAGCTGCAATTTATGAGGTCATTCTGAACAACAGAAAATATCCAAGGAAAATTTAAACTACTTTTTCTTTTCTTACTTAAATTTATTACTTTTACGTAATTCTACCTGCTTCTAGAATCAGAATCAGGCAACCATTTCAAACCAAATACTGCTCTTCGTTATTTTGTGGGAAGCAGACCATGTACTTAAAGAATTGGCCAGTCACAGTCGCAGTGCAAAAGGAGTTTTATTTATATTCGTTATTATTTCACCAATTAAAAATACAGTCTCTTAATTGTCCAGATTAAATATCACTTTCTAACAGGTTTAGGATTTTAAATGCTTAAAAAAAAGTAATATAAAAAATTAAAACTGTTCTTTTTTTTCACTCACAGTCAGAGTTAGATTAACCGTGAAACAAAATAAACACATGCTTAGTTAATGAAAGGAATTACAAAACAGTCTTGGAGTTAATAAAAGAAGGTACCATAAAATTCTCATTGCTAGTTTTACCATGGAATATATGGTACAGCTAAACCAAGACAGAGAGAAAGAGAATAAATTAAAAAAAAATAATAATAATAAAAACAGGTGCTATTATACTGTAAATATATAATGTGGGATCATCAAAATGTAAGTGCTTAAATCTCTCATGGTGTACTTGAAATAGTCATTTTTGTGAAAACTTTTTTTTTTTTTTTTTTTCCTTTTAGGATATAAGAACACATTGATTACTAGAATGAATGGCTCACTTCTGCAAATACTCATAAGCTGATGTCTGCTCACAAAATTATTTAGCAGTGTTACTTTAGTTAGTTACTTTAGCAGTGTTCAAATCGTCATAATAAAAGATTTCAACAATAAATAGAGTTAACAACATTTTTAAAGGAAGAATCTTTTTAAAATGAAAGGATTGAATTTTGTCAGATCTGCCATATGTAAACCAAAATGATAGTATGAGCTGTGGTGTGCTTGTCTGCTTACCAAATTAAAAATAGTCTTGATATAAAATGCAATTTAGGTACCTTTGAATTTAAGAACTAGTTTAGTAGGTGACAAATATATAATGGCTTCCTGTTTAAGGAGGAGTTCTGCAGCGTTTTCACCGCATTAAATTGAAGAACATTTCATTGTTGAAAAAGGAGAATTTTTGGTTTATTTAATTATGGCAAAGTACACTAGGACTATCTGCCTAAGGGGACGGATGCCTTCATGGAGTACTTTCTAAGGGAAACTGGCTCATATACACATTACACATGGGGGAAAACCATGAAAACGCCCATGCAGCCAGCCCGTTTGTGGGATTCGAACCTTAGATCGAACTACCAGTGTTCAGCGACTTTACTGCTCAGCCGCTGGTAGGCTGAAAAAGGAGAAAATTAAATTTAAAAAAAAGTATTCTTGTTCATGTAAAGGAGGCATTGCTGGCTGACAAGCATGGTGTCGCTGTTTTATTATATTGCAACAGTTAGCTGATTTTAACATTTACTCATTGGAAACAAATGATTTCATATATGTTAAACCTGGGATTTCCAGAAAAGCTGTGTAGTCAGAAGTGTCTGTCTTTTTTTTTTTTTTTTTTTTGTTGTTGTTGTTTATAAAATTTATATTGAATTGATGTACACTAAAAATAATATTGAATTAATTTGTGTGACAAATTATATTGAACCTATGGAAGCATTTTCTATTTTCAAGCAAAACATAAGCATTTAAAAATAAAATATCAACTGAAGTTGTCTTTTAACCAATTTTGCTTTTCTAATGCAGTTTCTAATTAAATTACTTTATATCTGAGCAAAAAATTCAGAAATAAATTGTAATAAGTCAATTAATTAATTGCATTACATGAACTTTATCATCTTTGAATATGAAACAATTGCATTACATGAACTTTATCATCTTTGAATATGAAACAATTGCATTACATGAACTTCATCATCTTTGAATATGAAACACTGAACTAACGCTTTGAATATGAAACATCCTGCATGAAAACACCAAGTCCATTCCAAGCTAATACAAGAATAAATTATGCTTATCGAAATTGACAGCACGAGCTTTTCTGTATTGTATTGTACACAAAGATTAGAAGCCAAGTCTCCACATAGAAAACCTTGCCTCTGGCATGATGGTCTTGTATTGAAACAGAATTTTAGCAGCATGGTTGTTATGAATTCCATTATACCAAAGAATTACTTAGATTTCCTAAATAAATTATAGAGTATCCAAAAACACTCTAAAGGTAACTCTTACAATTATTTTAAGTACAAGTAACTCTTACAATATATTTTAAGTAACCTTTAGAGTAACCAAAAACACACACGAAAAGAATTCAGATTTCTTGTAAAATTGATGCCATATATTTTTCTTTTAATCAAGAAAACTGAGGGAAATATTGTCAGACTTGCAAAAATTATTCTGTCAGATATTTGGAGAAACAGATCTTTCTTTTTGAGTGACATGATCAACAGAAACTATTTACAGATATAGCATACCAAAAAAAAAAACTTGAAAAAATATAAAGTGAAACTCATGGAAATTTGGGAGGAACAGATGCTATTTATTTAGTCAAATAAAAGTGGTTTATTAAGGATTTCTCAGTGTTATATGAAACCAAGGAGAAATTTTGAGTGTGTTTTGGATATCATGCCTTATCCATTATTGGGGCTAATGTACATTGTTATCAGTTTTTGTTTGCCAAAAATGGTTGAAGGGAGGATAACAGTATTAGGAGTTGAAAGATTATCATCAATATACCATAATATTTTTGCATGGAAATATAATACCAACTAACCAAAAATAAATTATACTTATCAAATGAATTTTAGTATGCCATAATAGTTTCATGGGAAAATATAACACATTTTTTATATCAACAACTACAATCATTATATCCAACAGCCATTTCATTAAAGAAAAGGCATAAATTATATTAATCACTTAAAGTTTCTCATAAGAGCTTCGCTATCTGATTATAAATTCTTAAACAAACAAGAAGCCATTTCAAGTAACATAATTTTTTCATAAGAGCTGTACCCATTCCATCACAGAATATCTGATTTTATGATTTAAGTGTGAAGAACATGATATTTAATAAATAAAGATAACACAAAATGTTAAAAAAAAAAAACCTCAGGGCATAATATAAAATCTGAAAGCTTTCAGTTTATTTATTTATTTATTTTCAAAAAGTAGTCAATGGTTGATCATGTTCAGATAAATGACTTG